TTGCGTCACACCTCAACCCGCCTCAAAGCCAACGCTGATTGGACGTTCGTTTGGTGAACGGCTCCAAATTTTCTTCAACGGAGAGTCTCCAGACTGATTTGCGAGTGAAACCTTGAAAGCTCGCGAGATCAGGATGGTCTCACGAGGCTAGCTGAGTAATCCATGATGATGGATGGAGGGATGCCTCCAGCTCCTAGTTCATGCATTTGGATTGACCGTTTGGGGATAAAAACCTGAACTGAGAGCGGTCTTCAGCCCTAAAGGAGTATAAAACTCCTTCCAGACCCAGAAAGTCAGGAGCCATTTTTATGGCTAAGTGCTTCTCTATGGCCCACATCATGGTTTTATTCTGGTTGAGACAAACGGTGGGGAAAAAAAGCACATGGATGAATTTATTGTCAGAGAAAATTTGAGAAAAGACTGCACCCCCCCTAAATCAAAGGAATCACCTACAAGGCCAGACTGTTTCTCTGGATCTAGCTGAACCATTTTAGGGGCATTGGCAAACCTTTTCTTGAGCTCTTAAAAAGTCCTTTGAAACATATTTTTGAGGAGGAAAGGTTAGTGAGGGGTTGAGCAGTTTGATAGTAATTATTAGTGAATATGACATTTGATTGCGGATCAAGACTGGCAGAAGTGTAAGCAGGGAATTCAATGCGGTGTCTCACTGCAAAACAGGTAAGGTAATGAGTACGAGTTCCAACCGATGAAGAGATGAACAGTGAGGGCAGACTTACCTCACAGGGCTTGGAAACAGGCTAAAAAGGTGGGACAACAGTATCCACAGAGAGGGATTGAACTCCTTGGAGTGATCCGGTTCTCTAAGTTGCGATGGAAGGTGGAGCTCCACTTTAGAGGATCTTGAAAGGAAGACTTTTTGGGAGGAGTGGAAAGCGCCGTTGAGGAAGGACCAGGAGGACAGCCAGGAAGGAGTAACCAGGAACCAGCCTTCAGCAAGAGGTAAACTAAAAGGGAATCAGAGACACGACTGGTAAGTAAGAGGATGAAAACAAGTTCAACTGACTTGGAAGTCTTCTGATGAGGAACCCAGTTACCACTGGTATAGGTAACCATCTGTCGTCTGCCTCAGGGATTCCACTCCTTTAAATACTGCTTCCTTGATTCCGGCGGATGAGTGCCAGCTGGGAGCTTCACCTGCCTGGCACACCCTGAAAATGAAAGTGAGAGAACAAAAACAAAAACTCCAAACCAAAACAGCTCTGTGGACACAACAGAATCTGGGCTAGAAGTTGGCGAATCCTGTAAAAACGTAGTAGCTGCTTGCGAGTTGAGTAGGCCAATTGAGGATGACTTAAACCTTCTCTGGATCTGTCTTCACCGGCCGTTCTCCAGAACGTGTCCCAAAAAGGTGACTGATGTGGCATGAAACTTCCTCTTCTCAGCTTACAAACAGTTGATTCTCTGGAATAACTTGATTCAAATGGATCTTATGCTTGGATAAGGTCCTGGTAACAAATCAG